ATTTTACCAAAAGATGTTAAACCATGTAAACAAATCACAATAAAATCAAAATCTCAAGATATTTTATCAGTTCCTTTGGATACAATACCTTTGCAGGGGTCAAAAATTCATACACTTGCGGCCAGAAAACTTATTCAAGAAATTGAGAATAACAATTATCATCCTATTCACACTATTCGAGAACAAATTGTACACTTAGCAAAATCTTATAACCTGAGTTCTAAATATACTAGGTAATATTTTGGTTTCATTAATATTTTTTTCAATATCGTGCTAATGGTTTATTATTTTATTTAAACAAACAGTTTTATTGCAATTGATTCGCATAATATCGAAGATCATGAAAAAAAGGAAGAATTTGAGAAAAAAATGGCTATAGAGAAATATAAAAAATTTGATCATGAAGAAAAATCAATAATAGAGTTTGAAAAGCAAAAAAAAATTGAAAATAAAAAAGACATAGAATTTAAAAAAAAATCTGTGAAAAAAATTATAATGGAATTTGAAAAAGAAGCTGAAAATCAAAATGCTATAAAGCTTGAAAAAAAAGAATTTGAAAAGGCAATTATTATTGAAAAATATAAAGAGCTTGAAAGACAAAAAAAAATGGAATTAAAAAAAGAACAACTCACAAAAGAAAAGGCAATAATGTTTCAGAAACAGAAAGATACTCGAATTAAATCATCGTCATATCTTGCAACTGCTATTAACCTTTCATATCTTAAAAAAGATGAAATATTGAAAGAACTTAAAAATAAGAAACTTAAATTACCAGAATCAGAACCATGGTGGAAAACAAGCCTTAGTACTAGTTACTTGAAAGTTGCAGCACCAAATCATGAAAATAAATGGAAAGATAAATATGATAAAGGTCGCAAATATCTTTCTGATCAAATTGGAGACGCAGATGCCGAAAAAGAACTTTTAGAATTTGAAGACAGTGATGTAGTAGATGGTAGGGTTTTGATTGGCGGTAAAATTGCGACGAGTAGACGGAGACCGAAAAATCAAGTTATTCAAAACTCATCCACTCCTGAAAAATGTGAAGACATAATATCTAATCAAAACTCATCCACTCCTGAAAAATGCGAAGACATAATATCTAATCAAAAAGATGATGGAAATTTTGAAATTAGTAAAGAATTAGAGTCATCAGAAGTTAGCCATTTTAATATTTAAATGTTATGAAAATCAATTATTTTATGTTTAAACTTACAAATTGTATGATTATGTTGCCAGTTTCCCTTAGGTGATTTTTATATAAAATCAGCATCCGGTGTTTTCACATCCACACCAGCACAAAATTTAGTAGTAGATATTAAACGCAATTTATTCGTGCCTTGGGGTGCTATCAAGGATGGAACGAAAGCTATTATAGCTCATCAAAAAAGCGATATTGATCAAGATGATCATCAACTTTGGCGTCATGAAGATGGTTGGCTAATTAACAAACAAACAAATTTATGTCTAGAAGTGGATGAGGGTAAGAATTTACGATAATAAAAAAAAAATTGCGAGTCAAACTATAATAAATTCACTTCTATCATTATAGCGAAAGCAGGAATTTGTCTCAGTGTTCACCATAAGAGAAACCTAAATAAGGCTAATAATCAACGTTGGATCCTTACCCCTGAAGGGCATATTGCATTAAAAAGCAATCCCAAATTCGTTATCGAGGTTCTCCCTAAAGGAACAGCTGTGAAAGATGGATCATATCTTATTATTACAAATACAAAGTCGAAAAACTTTAAAGATGACCCGAACTCCAAATTTATTATTATTCATAAGAAACATCTTGGTAAAAATACAAATAAAGTAATGTCTTAAAGTTTATTTTATTATTTTATTAACGATTACATTAGTAGATGGTGCTTTTATTGGCGTGATTCGAATGGAATTAGTAAGTGCTAAAGACCTTAAAACTATCGGTCCTTCCCTTACTGGAGGTAAATCAATTATGCCAATTTATGCTGTTATATTGACGATTGAAGTGGTTTAAAATGTTTGATATGATTTTATTACTTAGAAAAATCTTCTGTTCGAATTTTTAATGAGGATAATAAAATTATTGCCCAAACTAAATTCATCGATAATAATTTGAATCCAATTTGGAACGAAATTCATTACCTTCCGGTTAAGAATATTGGAGAAAATTTCCTTTTAGATGTGATGGGCTATAATACTCATAAGAAAGATGAATCGCTTGGAAGCTGTCACTTTGCAGTTACTCGAGATTTCATCAAAAAAAATTCCAATGGTACACAAAATGGCATCGATATGTGAGTAAAAAGTTTTTCGAGATTTCTAAAAAAAAAAACAAACATAATTTTAATTGATAGTTTTTAAATTTTTAGGTGTGCAAAACTTTCAACCAAGGGTCAAATTTTTTATAGAGCAAAGTTCTTCTCTCTTGAACCTCTTTCTCAACAAACTCCTGTATTACTAAAGAAAAATCCTTTTAATTTATCAACGTTATATCTAATTATCACTTTACAAACACTAGATGGAAGTTTTCCACCTTCAAACACATTAGCCAAATTGTTTGGTTATGAATCACTAGGGGAACTCATAAATTTATACAAATCTCATTGTTGTGAAGATCGTGTTTTAATGATTAATCAAACAGTATGGACAACTAGTATGGTCTCATGGTTCTTGCAATCTATGTTAAAAGAATACCGAAATGAATGGATTGGTGTTTATGAACGTGCTGAACAATATATTAGTAAAGAAATTAATTATAACTTAGAAATCGAAAAAGTTGTGGTCGCCACTGGCAAGAAGGCCGTTCATGAGAGATTTGAGATTAAATAATTTTTATTATATAGATAAATCGATTAAAAAAAAAATTCACTAAATTATGCATGTTCACAACATATTTATCTCATAAACATGTTGGTTCCAAACAAGCAATATATAGTACATGTCTAAAAGAAAATTGGTAACAAAATTTATTAATAAATATATTTATTAATTAAGTATATATATCATTCTTCTTTTTTTTTTTTAAAGAGAGGTCTTTCCTCTAACACTTTATTGAATAAATTTATTTTGCCATGTAGGCAAGTACATATAGCTATTCTATGGGGTTAGGGGTAAGAGCTAATTTAATATCGACCTATACTTTGTTAGTATGGTCGAAGACCTCTAGTCTTTGGTTAGTATATATGGAGTTGCTGTATTTTTAGTTATCTAATTGTTGATCTATTTTGCGTAGGTTAGGTTTGCAGAGTATTGTTTTGTATTTTGAGGTGGTGTGATTTTATCAGAATCTTCTATTTCTTCTATATGTCAATAGGTATAGCTATGTATCCATATCTTTGAATAGATTTTTGTAGTTATTTGATGGTGTAGTAATTATGTTTATTTTGTGCTTGAGTTTATGTTGTTCATTAGGAACAGTATTCTTTTTGCAATAAATCTAATTGGAAGAGCTTGGTTTATGTTGTTATAAAATGAGTTTTACCTATTTTATTTTATTATTATTTTATTATTTTATTATTTTATTATTAGTTAATTTCTTGGATGTATTTTATTTAATATCAATTTCTCAATAAACTAAATAGTTAAAGTTAGATTTAAGTTAGATCATCAGATCAAGCTTGATGAGACCTTTCTAACAAGCTATAAATTATAAAAAACAGATATATAGTTATTAAATTATCTTAGAAGTAATATTAGAATAAATTACTTTTTCTACCTTTTCTACTTTTTCTAAAAAGCTATATAAATTCTTTTTTTTCTCTTTGCCTCATATTAGGTTTGACCTCTGCAATCTCTTTAATATTAGAATTCTCTTAGCACAGAAACTAATAGATAGTCTTGTATTATC